AATGTAGGAAAACGAAATTGGGAGGAGCAAGAATTGGGGTTGGAAGTACACTTGATAGAGGTGTACTGCAGATTCGACTTGAGCTTTGTAATTACAAATTCTAGTCAATGAGGAATTATTTTTTCTTCTATTTTTGGTAGGCAGGTTTTTAAGTGTCCCTTAGTTCATACCTAGAAGGCAATTTCTTATTCTTTTATATGTAATTTTGGTTCTAGGGTCATCACTTGTCCAGACTTCTGTCACCCTAGGACGATCTTACTGATAATTTGGTAACATGGTACTAATGCAGTTTCCTAAACCTTCCTGTAGCGATGATGGCAGTGATAGTACTAAGGTGACCAAAGCTATGTACTTTTCTCTTATTTCAGTTTACTTCTATTAAACAGATGTTTACTGAACATTTCGTCTCTGCCAGAGTATGATTTAGAATTTTTTCAGCTTTATTAAGATATGATTGACATAAAACATTGTGTAAGTTTAAGGTGTACATCTTGTTGATTTGATACATCTATATGTTATAAAATGATTACCACTCCATAGTATTAACTACCACCTCCATCCCCTCATTTAGTTACCATTTCTTTTTTTGTGGTGAGAACATTTAAGATTTACTCTTAGCAGCATTCATGTGTATGATACAATATTATTAGTTAGAACCACCATGCAATATATTAGGTCCCCAGACTTGTTCATCTTATAACTGAAAGTGTGTACCCTTTGTTCAGTATTTCCCCATCTTCAGCAACTCCCAAGCCCTGCTAACTACCCCTCTCCTCTGTCTGAGTTTGACTTTTTTGGATTCCACATATAAGTGAGATCATATGGTATTTGTCTTTCTGTATCTTACTTATTTTACTTAGCACAATGTCCTTATGTCTCATCCAAGTTGTCACAAATGACAAGATTTCCTTCTTTCTGTGGTTGATATTTCCATTGTGTGTGTGTGTGTGTGTGTGTGTACCCCACATCTTTATCCATTCATCCAATGACAAACACTTAGGTTGTTTCCATATCTTGGCTATTGTGAGTAATGCTGCAGTGAAAATGAGAGTGCAGATAATCTGCGAGGTCCTGATTTCAGTTCCTTTGAATATATATCCAGAATTAGGACTGCTGGATCATATGGTAGTTCAATTTTTAATTTTGGGGGGGGGACGTTCATACTGTTTTCCATAGCGACTACACCAGTTTACATTCCCAGCAACACTGCCCAAGGATTCTCTTTTCCCACAGCCACTTTAACAGGTGTGAGGTGATATCTCATTATGCTCTTCATTTCCATTTCCCTGATGATTAGTAATATTGAGCACTTTTGAGTGCCTATTGATAATTTTATGTCTTCTTTGGAAACCTGTATATTCAATTCCCCTGTCCATTTTTTAACTGGGTTGTTAGTTTTTTTGCTGTTGAGTTATATGAGCTCTTTATATATTTTGAATATTAATCTTTTAGTAGATATATGATTTAAAAACATTTTCTCCCATTCTGTAGATTGACTTTTCATTTTGTTGACTGTGTCTTTTGCTATGCATCTTAGTTTGATGTACTCCCACTGTTGATTTTTATTTTTGTTGCTTGTGCTTTTGTTGTCATAGCCAGGAAATTGCTGCCAACACCAATGTCAAAGAGCTCTTCATGTTTTCTTCTAGGAGTTTCAGGTCTTAAATAATGTCTTTAATCCATTTCAGGTTTGTTTTTGTGAATGATATAAGATAGACGTCCAATTTCATTTTTCTGCATGTGGTTATCTAGTTCTCCCAACACCATTTATGGAAGAGGCTATCTTTTTTTTTTTTTCATTGAATATTCTTGGTTCTCTGGTCAAACGTTAGTTGACCATTTAGAGTTTCTTAGCCTCAAGGTGCTTACTGGTTAGTAGAGACAGACACAAAAAAATATGTAATTATAACAAATTACAAATAGAGGTACTTGCAAGGTGCTTTAGGAGCCTTGTGATTCAGGGAAGATTTACAAGAAAATATGCTCAAGCTTTGTTATTCTTAGCCTGGAGGAAAAAAAAAAAGATTTTCTATCATAAGCAAAGACTTGGTAGTATGAAATGGCTTGGTACCCATGGAATTGAGTAAACTGAGGAGTTGTGACAGTACATGGCACATTTTGGGGTGTCACTAAAGGATTAAAGTCTTCAGTGGGATGGGGGGAGATACACTTGGAGTTACTGGCAAGGATAATGAATGGTCCTAGATATGTTGAGGAGGTTGGGTCTTACCTGGGAAAGCTTGTTAAAGGGCTTTAAATGGCAGTAGTATAGATGAATTTTTAGGTCCTAGGTAAGAAGCCGGGAGATTGTATATATTAGGCAAGAAATGATTGTCCAACTGCAGGACAAAATGATAAGAGATGGGGAAAGAGTTATTCAGGAGATGAACGAATAATTACATGTGGGTGAAAGGTGGGGAGCTAGGGCAGAGCAGTCATATGAAAGAGAAGTATTGGGTGAATTGCTGGGTTTTGCCCTCAGGTAGATGGCAGAACTATAAATGAGATAGGAAATACAGTACAAAATGGGAATGACTGCAGTAATAGCTAACACTTAGGGGGTGTTTCAATAAGCACCAGACACTGTGCTGTATGCTTTACATGTATTATAACTCTTTTATTCTAATAACCTGTGAAGTACATACACTGTCACCCATTTTATAGAGAGGAAACTGAGACATGGAGGGGAGGACTAAAGTCCTACTTAGGTAAGATAACAAAACCAGGCATTTTGGCTCCAGAGCTAAACACTTGGTCTCAACATTGTATTTATTATACTAGTATTGTGACTCTTACTGATATAAGTAATGGCATCAAATCCAACTTCTTGTTATACTTTATATCTCACAACACAACACATAGAATGATGATGGGTAATGCTTTTAAACCGTTACTTAAGTGGTTACATTAGTAGGTGGAATGTAGCAGTAAATGACTTATAATAATGAATTGGGTTTTGTTTTTTTTTTTTTTTGCAAAGTAGAAGAGCATTGAATTTACAAATGATTGATTTATAAACAGTGTAGCAATTGGAGAAAAGTTTAGAAATAGGCAGTATTTTGAAAATTGGGGGCAATTGCCCATTGTATAGATTGTTTTACATTTTTAATAAAAAGTATGGGGGGAATCTCAATATTAAAGCTCTTAATATTTTTCTTTGTTTAGTTAACCTAGTGTCTTACACAGAGTAGAAACTCAAATAGCAGGTTGGGAACAGGAAGAGAGGAAGCAGAGAGCAACAACTCTGAAGGAATGTTTTTGGTGGAATAGGAGCCATGCGCAGTGGAAGGTGGTGCCTTGGATGGGAGCACTGACCTTGATCAGTTTCAGCAGGAGAATGCAGAGTCTTATCAGTGGGTGTGGTACAGATAGTAAATGTGGTGGGAGTAGATAGAAGGCCCCTTTTATTTTATTATTATTATTTTTTTAGTTTTGGTGGGGGGGCAGAGGGAGAGAGATAGAGTCTTAAGCAGGCTCCTTGCCCAGTTGCAGAGACCGACTCTGGGCTCACTCTCACAACCCTGAGATCATGACCTGAGTCGAAATCAAAATGATTAACCGACTAAGCCACCCAGGCACCCCAAGAGGCCTCTTAAAATGCTGCTTTATTTTCAGGGAAATAAGAGAAACAAGGTTATTAAGCTTTCATCTCCCCTAGTCACTAGAACTGCTCTTGTCAAGGACTAGTGATTTCCGTACTGTTAGATCCAATGGTCACTTCCTTTTCAAAATACTGTCTTCACTTGACCATGACCATTCTCTCTTAGTTTTTCTTCCACCTTATTGCCACTCCTCAATCTTCTTTGCCTAGTGCCTCTTTATCTTCCTCTTTTCTAGGTCTAGGGTTTAAATAAGAACTACTTATTTCTCTGTTCGTAGTCGCTCCCTAGGGGATCTCATTCAGGCCCATGACTCTGAACACTGTTGGACCTCTCATTTGGACTCCAGACCTGTCCATTGTCTTTTTGTGAATCTCCTAGGTCTCTCGCTTTATGTGTCTACAACTGTACTTTGATTCTCCCTCCCAAATCTACTGTAGTCCTTATCTGTAGTCTTCCTTTTCAGTGAATGGCCACTCTGCCAGGTACTCAGTTCTAAAACTTCAGGCAATCTTGACCACTTTCCACTAGCAAATTTTGATGGCACTGCCTTCAAAATCTGACCCTTTCCTCTCCTCTTTACCATGTCTACCATGGCTCTAGCTACCTGTCATCTCTCATCTGGACAATTGTAGTAGCCTCTGTTCAGGTATCCTTGTATCTATCATTGGCCCAAAGTGAGTCTGTTAAAACCTGAATCAAATGCCATCAGTCGTCTGTCCAAAACGAACCAGTCAGTTATCTTCATCTCACTCAAATATAAGCCAGAATCCTTGTTACGATCTACAAGGCACCACATGTTCTAAGGCTCTCCTCCCGCTTCATTCTGCCACCTTATGTTATGCTGTTCTCCCCTTTGCTCATTCTTGTCTCCATCATGGCTCCTTTTCTGCTCCTTGAACATGCCTGGCATTTTCTCTCCGCAAAAGCTTCTGTATTTGCTGTCCTCTTTGCCTGATGTACTCCCCCCACCCCACCCCAGATAATCAATATGACTCCCTCTCTCATGTTTTTCAGCTGTCTTTTAAATGTTGTCCTATCTGAGAGGTCTTGCCCTACCACTGTTCATAAACTGGAATCTCTTGTCCCAGGTGCTGTTGGTCCTCCTACTGTGCTTTATTTTTCTTGATACCAGTTATTACCACTTGGCCCATTATAGATTTAATATCTTTATTCTCCTACTAGAGTTTAAGCTCCCTGACGATAAGGACTCTTTTTCCTTCCTTCTTTATAATATCCCAGTACCTAAATTAGCAAATGTTTGGCTCTTATATGTATTTAATAAATATTTATGGGATGGATTGAATGAACGAATGTTTAATGAATAGCTTTCCTGTTTATCTCTAAATGGCTATGTAAGTCAGTATTGATCTAATTGAGTGTTTTTTGCCCCCTCCACAGCACAATGGTCAGTTCTGTTCAAGGAAATACATACCCCAACCAGGCTTCAGTATATAGTCCTCCTCCTGCTGCTGCTGCTGCTGATGTCACTATATACCAGAATGCAGGAACTAATATGTCCCAGGTGCCGAACTATAATTTGACATCATCAACGCTGCCTCAGCCAGGAGGCAGTCAACAGCCACCTCAGCCACAGCAACCGTATTCTCAGAAGGCTCTGCTATAGGACTTGGGATGCCTCTTTGTGGCAAATACCTGCTAGATGCCGCTGACAATGTTATGAGGTTCTTTAATATCATAAGGTTTGTTTATCCTCAGCTTATAGGAATCTATCTTGGTCTACAGGTTCAAATATTCAAGAAGGTAGAACTCTCTTCAATTTGCACTGACTTTTTAGAGGTTCTCCCTTCCCCTCCCCTAGAGGATTGAAACTACTTACAACATTTAATTCCTTTCATAATATGAAAGAATTGATACAAGATTATTTGTCTCATGAAATTACCTGGTCTGCAAAAGTCAAACTTACAAAAAACCGTTGTGGCAAATGTTATGTACATATATTGCTGTGTAACTTCATTGGTGGCCATTTTGAATCACAGTGGTGATCATGTGAATATATTTAACACTGTTAAATTAATTTACATTGCTATTTTATTTTAATCATGAACAACTACCATGTCTCATAATGTTTTGTGTAAATTCAAGATAATTACACTGTCCCTTTAAACTGCAAGAGAACGACGCTGTAGCATATTTACGTGAAGGCATTATGTTGTCCATGTTTCAGTTTCACATTAAACTGAACCTTCCCTTGACTAATTGTGAGCTAAACTTACGTATTTTATATCTTTCTGTAGCCTCTGCATACTACTCGCTGTCATCATACCAGCGTACAGTAGCTAAATTTTTGGTTCACGTACAGCAAATGATGATGTTCCCTTTTGAACTTTTACATTTCGGCATGATATTTCAGAATATTGTGGGACCATGAGACAAAATTAAGTAGGATCACATTCTTTATATCTTATTTTTAAAGGAATAATGTTGATTTACTTTTTCCTAGTTGAAGATAGTAATTAGATTTCTAAGCTGTATACTGTGTTTATTGGTGGCAGTGACACCAAAGATAGAGGCAATGGATAGAAATTTTTAAACTGGAAAGAAAACATGAATTACACTACATTTTCAAAGTCTCTTGTAATTATTTAGGATATAAACAAAATTTGATTCATCTGTCTTTTCCCACTATTAGTCTTTTAAATATGTCTTTAACAATTGTATCCTTTAATTGTTCATTAAAATGGATATAAGTAGATGTTTCAAAGTATTCTATATTCTGGTTTTGCTTAAGAGTTTGTATATTTATTCTTATCTTTCAAACTGGACTTTTGGGGCTCCTCTCAAAGTTCTAATGGAATTATTTTGACTTCCTGTTCAGGAGTGTTTTTGAATGAAGGCTTTCCTTTTGATCTACATGAAATATGTTTTCCACTGACATTTTAATCTTCTTAAATATTTATCATTTCCCTAGTTGTGCTATACTGCTATTTCATACTATTTAAACAAATGAAAAATTGAGTTCAGCATTATATTAAATGAATTGACTTAATATGTTTCACACCATAAATGAAAATTTAATTTGTATTTTCTAAGACTACTGTAATCAGGTAACTCGTTCCTTTCCTTTTTGACAAACGATTCCATCTGTGGCAAGTAATCTTAATGGTGACTAATGTTATAGGTTCAAATTTACAGCATTGTCTTCAACTTCATTATGTCACCCTAGTGTTGTGTTATCCTGAGTTTAGAGTATGTTTCCCTCAAAACAGTAATTTTAAAACTTGAATTCACACTTTACACTAAAAACATTTTTAATATGTTGTTTCTTGATAAACATTGTCAAACAGATTATAATCTTTTTCACTCCAATTTGAATATTCTAGTTTAACTGATAGACTTTTGCCAAGTCATGTTGTATTTTTCTCTTTGTCTTTTGATAAATTTCTGTTTACCAATGGCAAATGTATCATTTTCCCAGTTTATCTTGATATCCTTCATGCTGTAACATCAATTATACAGTCTCTAGAATGCTTTTTGACCTATAAAAGTCAATGAATGGTGAGATTTAAAAAAGCTGCCCTTATTACAATGCATATACCTTTTTCTTACCTATTACTAGCCTTATAAAGGTTTAAATGATGAGCACTTAAAATTGATACTGTATTAGTTTGTGCTTTGCATTTATTTGGTATAAAAGTACCACATAGAAAAATTCCACTGGAAAGGAACCCCTGGATTTTCCATCATTCAGATGACATGTCAAGGATAGAAATAAGAAAGGACCATTTAGGAGCACAGATGATTCTGTTCTGTAACCAGTGTATGTGTCATACTTTCAAAAAGTCTTTTAAAAATATAGCCGCCCCCTCCCTTTTTTAAGGTGTAGAATTACTTATAATTCTTAATTTATAATTTATTTATAATTAATTTATAATTCTTAAATATAAATTTTATATTATTTATATTATTTATAATTCTTAATTTATTATTTAAGGTATAGAGTTACTTATAATTCTTAATTATTTAGAATTATAATTCTTAAATATAAATTTTATATTATTTATAAAATGAATTAACTATAATGTAGATTTCTGTGAAGAAAATTTTACTTCTCAGTTTATTTCCTTTATAGAATTTGAGTGTGTATACATAAACATGAATTTTTCCATGAGTGTATATACACTCATGGAAATATTCAGCCAGTTACGGTCTAGCATAAGTAACTGACATACCCATGGCCAGTTGGATGTTATAATCTTACCCGTGCCATAAACCTCCTAGGACTAATGTGTAGTATGTACTTACTGTGATTTTACAGTCTTCCCAACTCTAGGATCATCCTTTTCTGTACCTCTCTCTCCTTCTCAGTGAGGTACCATTTTAGGGGCCTAGAGATTCCAGTCTTTATGTTACAAACTTCTGGAACTTTGTTTCTATACCTTTTAATTTTTGTATTTAAAATGCTCAATAGACCACTAACTTTTTTTTTTTTTGTACAATTTTCATGTATATATGACATGTATAATTCAGCTCTGAAATATCTTTAGTCCAAAGCTTCAAGTTTATATAAGACATATTAGTGTCCTATATGATAAACTATGCAGCTTTATAAAAACTGTTATTTTCTGAAATGAGGTCCATTGGTATTACTGCTCAAATGCTCTTTTTAATACTTTAAAATCACTGTTTTCTTTTCTCATCTATTTCCTTGGTTTATTATTTTATTAGCAATTGTACTAATAATTATAGCTTTCTGTTATATCACTTTTTAAATATTTAATAAGAAAAATGTAAAGTTTTCATTCTTGTATCATTTTCTTTTCCTTTTTTTTTAATCAGCTAACTGCCTTCACCCTTCAAAATATATAGAAGAAACTTAGCTAAATATTTTCTGAAGGCCTTATGTTCAGTTATCTTTTATTTTAGAATCATGGTTTGAGTAAGTATTCTTGTCAAGTATTAGATTATTTTCCATACTATTTATGATGATATGCTCCCTCCAGTTTTTAATCAAAGCTGAGTTTTATGTATTCTTTTTTAGTATGACCTTTCTTTGAAATTATAAAACTTAAGTAATTTTTTCTGAAGTTTTCCTAGATTCAACACTTTTTTCCTTATGTTCTAGAGCATTTTAAATTTTAGTATTTAAAATCATAGATTTCCTTGCTGAACAAAATTTTGCATTTTATTTGTGATAACTTGTGGTCATTCTTTGCTGATTTTCTGACTCTTTTTCTTATGCTATTACTTCCCACTACCACTGTTGTTTCTTTGCTGCTTCTTGTAGTTTCTTAGAATTTCAGATAAGGATTACATATTAAATTATTGAGTCAGCATTCCCTGATAAAAGCAAAAAGGACTGGTTTTAATGGTCTTCCGGTGGTCAGAAACTTAAAAATAGATATGTCTATTTTAGAGAAGAATTGTATCCCGATTTTTTTATCAGATACCCTCATCAGTAACAAATATTTTTAAGTATACAGCTTCAAAATATATATGTATATGTACTTACAAATTGTACAGGTTCTACTGTGGCAATATATATTGTACGTTATGCAACACTCTGAAAAATAGACATCTTAGAAGAGTCAGAGAAAAAGAATATTAATAGAAATTCTAATATTTTCCTTCCATATCTCTGGTTCATTTTTTCTGTGTCCTAGGATGTGTCTATCTGATTTGGAGACCACTGCTTTAGAGGTTAAGATTAGACAGAGAGAGGGAGTGGGAGATTATTACTAAATTGGCCTGTTGAAGTAAGTATCTGATACTAAGTATCTGGTGCTTTTCCCAGCAACTTTTTATGCTGAGAATTTTCAGACCTATAGAAAGATTGAAAGAATTAATACATTGAACACCCAAATACTCTGTCTAGATTCACTAATCAATAACATTTTGTCCCATTTGCTTTATTTCTTTATGTATGTTTAGATGCACACGTGTATATATATATATATGTGTCTCTATGTGTACATACACACTGTCTTGTGTGAATAGAGAAGTTACAAACATTGTGAACCATACTCCTAAGTATTTAATCATGTATCTTGTAAGGATAAGTACATTCTTCTATGTAACCTAAACCTTTATCACATCTAAGAAAATTAACCGTAATTCTATGATATTATTGTTATCAAATGTCCCCAAACTGTTATATATAGTTAATTTTTTGAATATCCAGTAATATGCACCACATTTCTTCTTTATTCTTTATTAATCTGTATTAATCTTCTTGCCTTTTTTCCTCCCTGCTACTGATTTTTTAAAGATGTATACTGGTTGTCGCACAGAATTCCACATGCTGGATTTATCTCTTTATGGTGTTATTAGACTTAATGCTCCATTTTGATTATAGTACTTTATTACTTAATCCTAAGGGAATTAGAGTTAGAACCATATGATTTATGGTTAAAATTATTAAAATTTTCAGGCTCATTATCAGAAAACCGTACATAGAAATGAACATTATTAACCTTGAAGTGTATTACCTTAAAGTATATAACAGGCTGTATGCTCAGCTCATTGATATAACGTTATATCATAGCTCAGTAGTTTTGTGGCTTTTTTTTTTTTTTATCTTATTTATTCATTTGAGAGAGAGAGAGAAAGCGCGAGCATGGTGGAGGGGCAGAGGGAGAGGGATAAGCAGACCATTCCCTGCTGAGCAGGGAGCCCCAAGGCAGGGCTTGATCCCAGGATCCTGGAATCACAACCTGAGCTTAAGGGAGACGCTTAACTGACTGAGCCACCCAGATGCCCTTGTGTTCTTCATTTTGAATTGCATTTAGAATCTGAAGGAGATTTGTGCCTTTAAAAAAAAATAGCCTCCTTTTTCCTCCATTCAAACCAAAGTCAGCTTTTCTCAAGTTCATCTACTGATTGATTCACTGTGATGGCTTTTTAAGTAGTTTTTAGAAATGTAACCAACAATTATAGGACTTTATGTTGTTTGTTTTGTTTTGTTTTTAAGTAGGCTCCATGCCAGTGTGGAGCCCAATGCAGGGCTTGAACTCATGACCCTGAGATGCAGACCTGAGCTGAGATCAAGGTTTGGATGCTTAACCAACTGAGCTACCCAGGTGTCCCAGGACTTTGTTTTTTAGATGCATGCATTTTGGCATGTTTATTTTAAAGGACTTCTCATTACCTTATAGTCATATCTTGTGTTAAGATACTGAAATCACTGAAGAGGGAGGAAAATCCTTTCTTCTTAAAAGTTTTCATTGTTACTTCTTTTCCTCAAGTTGGTTACCAAACTGGAATCAGACCAAGTAAAATTTATAACCACAGTCAAGTTAGAAACAAGTGCAAGTTACAGTAATGTACCCTATCAGGTTATTAAATAGCTGGGGTTAGGACCTTAGATTATTTCGGTTGGTTAATGGCTTTTTAAAAAAAAAGGGGAATATTTGTAATCCCTTGTTTCTGTGGCAGGATATAGGAAGGTTTGTTTTGTTTTTAGGAAGTTTAAGGAATGTTTTCCCTTAATTATATGTAATATAATCTGTTAGCCAGTTTAGATGCCAAATATTATGAAACATCCATGTGATATGCTTTTTTCCTCAGAACCAAACACACACACAAGAGTACCCCTATGCTACTTTGGAACTTGTACCTCCTCCCTCAGAGAAAAGAAGGTTTCAGTATAAATATTCTTGATGTTCTGTAATTTAAAAATAGATAACACACTCTAAATGAGTTGCTTAAAGTGACTGAAGAAGTTGTAATCAAGGATACAGGTAAATTCACTTAATACTTTTCAAAGAGGTGGGCAGCCTGGGTGGTGCAGTCGGTTAAGCATCTGACTCTTGGTTTCTGCTCAGGTCCTGATCTCCGGGTTGTGAGTTCAAGCGTCATGTTGGGCTCTGTGCTCACTGCAGAGTCTGCTTAGGACTCTCTCTGCCTCTCGTCCACCCCCCTCCTCCCACCCCTTCTTTATCTCGTTCTCTTAAAAAAAAAAAAAAAAAAAAAAACTTCCCAAAGAGGCTTCACAATAGCCAAGTCCATTTCTATAAATGGTGGATGGCACATGATAAAATGGTTTCATTAATTTGCATTGTAAAATCTATCAGTTTGTGACCACATGGGTTTCTTGTAAAGGAAGTGGTGGTACTTTTCGGTTGAGGAGAAGAGTAAGAATAAGAACTAAATTAGATTGTTTACTGGAGTTCTATTCTGCTATGAAGTGGAAATTTCAATTCATTGCCCTAAGGAAATCAGAAGATTAGATTTTAACACAGATATATATCTTTTTTTTTTAAATTTTATTATGTTAGTCACCATACAGTACACCATTAGTTTTTGATGTGGTGATCCACGATCCATTGTTTTCGTATAACACCCAGTGCTCCATGCAGTACGTGCCCTCCTTAATACCCATCACCGGGCTAACCAATCCCCCCTCCCCGCTCCCCTTTAAAACCCTGTTTGTTTCTCAGAGTCCATAGTCTCTCATGGTTCATCTCTCCCTCCGATTCCCTCCCTTCATTTTTCCCTTCCTTCTCCTAATGTCCTCCATGCTATTCCTTATGTTCCACAAATAAGTGAAACCATATGATAATTGACTTCCTCTGCTTGACTTATTTCACTTAGCATAATCTCCTCCAGTCCCATCCATGTTGATACAAAAGTTGGGTATTCATCCTTTCTGATGGCTGAGTAATATTCCATTGTATATATGGACCACATCTTCTTTATCCATTCATCTGTTGAAGGGCATCTCGGCTCTTTCCACAATTTGGCTATTGCGGACATTGCTGCTATGAACAATGGGGTGCATATGGCCCTTCTTTTCACTACATCTGTGTCTTTGGGGTAAATACCCAGGAGTGCAATTGCTGGGTCATAGGGTAGCTCTATTTTTAATTTTTTGAGGAACCTCCACACTGTTTTCCAAAGTGGCTGTACCAACTTGCATTCCCACCAACGGTGTAAGAGGGTTCCCCTTTCTCCACAACCTCTCCAACATTTGTTGTTTCTTTCCCTGTCCATTTTTGCCATTCTAACTGGTGTAAGGTGGTATCTCAATGTGGTTTTGATTTGGATTTCCCTGATGGCTAATGATGATGAACATTTTTTCATGTGTCTGTTAGCCATTTGTATGTCTTCTTCAGAGAAGTGTCTTTTCATGTCTTCTGCCCATTTTTTGACTTGATTATTTGTTTTTTGGGTGTTGAGTTTGAGAAGTTGTTTATAGATCTTGGATACCAGCCCATTATCTGTAGTGTCATTTGCAAATATATTCTCCCATTCTTTGGGTTGCCTCTTTATTTTGTTGACTGTTTCCTTTGCTGTGCAGAAGCGTTTTATCTTGATGAAGTCCCAAAAGTTCATTTTTGCTTTTGTTTCACTAGCTTTTGGAGATGTATCTTGAAAGAAATTCCTGTGGCCGATGTCAAAGAGGTTACTGCCTATGTTCTCCTCTAGGATTTTGATGGATTCCTGTCTCACATTGAGGTCTTCCATCCATTTTGAGTTTATCTTTGTGAATGGTGTTAGAGAATGGTCGAGTTTCATTCTTCTGCATGTGGCTGTCCAATTTTCCCAGCACCATTTATTGAAGAGACTGTCTTTTTTCCATTGCATATTTTTTCCTGCTTTGTCGAAGATTATTTGACCATAGAGTTGAGGGTCCATATCTGGGCTTTCTATTCTGTTCCATTGGTCTGTATGTCAACACAGATATATCTTTTGTCAAAAGAATATCTTGCTAGATAGTGATCTTGGGCAGATTCATGAGAATCTCTCTGGGCTGCCTTCTCTTTTATAAATTGTAGTGTAGGTATAACTACAAAATTCTTTGTTTTTTTTTGTTTTTTTAAAGATTTTATTTATTTATTTGACAGAGACACAGCGAGAGAGGGAACACAAGCAGGGGGAGTGGGAGAGGGAGAAGCAGGCTTCCCGCAGAGTGGGGAGCCCGATGTGGGGCTCAATCACAGGACCCTGGGATCATAACCTGAGCCAAAGGCAGATGCTTAATGACTAAGCCACCCAGGCGCCCCACTACAAAATTCTTTGAAGCTTGCCGAACATCTGTGCTTTAGATCCTCTACCTCTGTCCACCTTAAATATCCCTGACATTCCACCTGAATAATTCACGTCTGGCACTGCAATTACCCTCTTGTAGCTTAAAGGAGGAGGATGGGATGGGGTGGAGTACTGTAGTACTGAAACTTAGGGATATGATTTCTGACATTCATAATATACTTTCTGAAAGTAATTGTGATGTTTTATTAGCAAACGCTTGAGCCTTTTGTTTATGTTTGAGCAACCTCACCAGGGACATCTACATTCCAGGTAGAAGTGCTTTCATTTAATAGTACTTTCATTTTCACTGGTGCTGATTTGGGGTGGTCGTGGTAGGGAATTATTAATCACAGCTCTGAAGCATATACTGCTTTTGTTTTTAAGACATATATATATATGTCATTTATTTTATAAGCATTTATTTTAAACATTCTGTACAGAATTTATATTTCTCATATACATTTATATACAACAGCTCCTGGAAAAAGTATCTAGAAAACAATGAGTTATAAACAGCATTTGATTAATAAGCCATGTATATAAATATAAGCACAAATATAAATGCTTATATTTATCTTATATATTTATTTATAACATATATATATGTTGAGAGAGAGAACGAGCGGGGTTGGGGCAGAGGGAGAGGGAGAAGCAGGCTCCCCGCAGAGCAGAGAGCCCGATCCAGGGCTCAATCCCAGGACTAGAGATCATGACCTGAGCCAAAGGCAGCCGCTTAACAGAATGAGCCACCCAGGCGCCCCGCATATAGTTTTTGTATATTGCTTCAAACTAAAGGAGATATGTAGCATCAGACTATGTAAAATGTTACTGTTCTTGATGTCCTCGTAGACAAAGTAGGTGATGCTGGAGTCCATGTGCTACTCTGGCCTTCCTTCAGCTGTTTAGTAAGCAGATTGAGACATTAAAGTGCTGGCTGAGCGTTTATTTCTAATATTCCAAATAAGATGTAGAATCAGCAGTTGCATTTTTTTACCTCACAAATATTTGGTCTGGAAAAATGCCATTATACATTGTTTGGTTACAAGTTATTACTTGAAAAAAACATTAGCTAGCTGTTAAAGGTGTTTTTTTTTTTTTTTTCCTAATCAACCTTTTCCTTGTGTGTTAGTCAGTTACATGGATCTTTTATTTTATATATATAGTTATATAAAACAATTCTAAGAATAAATTTTAGTTTTCTTGTACTTTAGAAGATATCTTGCTGACATTAAAAAAGTTTCTTTACTAGATTTATGTTAAAGGAATCTGATAAAGAAGACATATCAAATATTTAATAAAGTAGAAAAGAAGTAGATAAGCTTTTTATAGCTCTTTTTTGTAGAGGGGGAAATACAAACTGTTCCAGTTGTTTATCACTGCTTGTGTCAAAGGGAATAGTCACTGCCTTGTTTAGAGTCTTTGCTGCCTCATGCTAATTTTTTCAGTCATTGTCCCAGAAATGAATACTTTTTGGGTTTTACTAGAAAAAGTTCTTTATCTTACATCATAGTAAAGACTAATTTTAATTTTGTCTTTGTACAGTTAATATGTTTTTCTTCTTTTTAAAAGATTACTTAGAGGGCGCCTGGGTGGCTCAGTCGGTTAAGCATATGCCTTCGACTCAGGTCATGATCCCGGGGTCCTGGGATGGAGTCCCACATTGGGCTCCCTGCTCAGCGGGGAGTCTGCTTCTCCCTCTTCCTCTGCCTGCCACTCTCCCTGCTTGGGCTCTCTCTGTGTGTCAAATAAATGAATAAAATCTTTAAAAAAAGATTCCTTAGATTTTGATTGGTCTTAATGAAATGTTGTAGTATCAAAATATCAGGATAATTTAATTTTATTCATGTGGTTGCAAAATATTAATTTACATGGGGGGCGCCAGGTAGGCAAATGGATTTTCTTTAGGTGAAATTAAATGTGGGTTTGAAATAGGAAGACTTCCAGTAGATGGAATGGAATTACATCACGCTGCAAGTTCAGTTACTGTGCTTTTGCTTACTCCATTAAACTTTCTTCCCTGCATGCCTTTCATGCATTTGAAAAATGATAATTTCCCCAAGGTTTTTAGCATGGTCGGACAAAATTCTGTTTTTATTTTCACTTTCATCCAGCATTTATATGTATTTAACTCTTCTGACTGATATATTTGAAAGGCCGAAAATACCCCCCATTTTTTATTTGCTGAAGAATACTTACTGTAACATGGTCTGTCGATGCCTTCAGTAGGGAAAGGTTAAAATTGAGTAAGTGTCCGGTTTATACTTGTTTGTTTTTATAATAATTCAAAATGGTCAGGGAAATTGTTTTCAAAAATTAAGCCAAAGGGGGAAATGCTAAAGGAGCTGAGTTTAGGTAGTACGTTTTAGCAGTTTTGTCAAAAGTACACATTTTGAGATTAAAAACTTTGAAGTGCTCTTCTCCATATTTGACCAAGAGATAAGCATCACTAAATTAAAATTGAGTAGCATGATCTAGATACTATGTTTAGTATCTTTCGGAAGTGATATTTCTAAATATTCTTTTTCTCTATTAATTCATGGCTTATTAATCAAATACTGTTTATAACTCATTGTTTTCTAGATACTTTTTCCAGGAGCTGTTGTATATAAATGTATACGAGAAATATAAATTCTGTACAGAATACTTAAAATCACCTGAAGAGACACCTGAATGTGGGCAGTTGTTTCCAGCCATTGACTCTTGTATATTGGACTTTGTTATAACTCATTTGAACTAGAGGTCATCATAGTACACATTGGATTCGGCTGTAATGCCAATATGTGTTCTGAAAATCATCTTACGCACACTTGTGCAATAAAAAAGCCTTACTAAGACTTTATGGGAGAAACAGGGTTAGAGCCACAGCACTCCAAAATTTTAGCAATGACAACACTTAAGAATAAAAATAGGAATCTAATAAAAACAGTAGCACAGTTTTAACACCTTTATTAAATGGTTAGTAAATATTACCATAAGGATGGCACTTTGCTCTGAAAAAGACCTGAAGTGTGCCTGTGGAAGTGAGTGTCGGAAGGGTTGTAGTTTGTGGGTTTGGGGAAGGTGGAAGGCGGGGCTGCAAGAATCTGAGGGCAAGTTGTGACGCCAGGTGTGGGGGGAGTGTGACAGCCCCAGCAGTGAGTGGAGGGCGCTGCTGCTGGTAGGAGGGGGGAGTGTGTGGATATTGAGTATTCCTGCGTGGCTCAGGTCAGCCATGCGCCGTTTTCTACCTTTAGCCTCATGTTTCTCCTGTACAAGCCAACTGAAATTTGCATTTTGCTCCTGCTGTTTCCTAGTGTATCAATCTCCTGCAACAAATTTGTGGTTTCCAAATAATCATTATATCAAAACTGACTCCGAGAGTGATTTAGAGAATGAGTGGCTAGTCATCATTTATTTCTAACGTTAGAAAAATTCCTTTTAAACTTTTAAGTGATTGATAAGAATTATGGACATGTAGGACAGAACGCTTTCTTCCTCCTTAGCAGATTAGAAAGTATCCCAATTGAACATGTGAACACATTTAGATTCAAAGAATTATATATATTTTAAATACAGTCTGTGAGAAATTATTGCTCTTGGGGCACCTGGGTGGCTCAGTCGGTTAAGTGGCTGCCTTCATCTTGGGTCATGATCTCAGGGTCCTGGGATTGAGCCCCGGCATCCGGCTTCTGGCTCAGCGGGGAGTCTGCTTCTCCCTCTCTCTCTGCCCTCCCTCCCTACTCGTACTCTCTCTCTCTCTTAAATAAATAAATAAAATCTTAAAAAAAAAAAAGTCCTGCCGTCTCCCCACCTCAAAGGGAAAGAAAAGAAAATTGCAGATAACCATCATTTTCTGACCTAAGTGGGCATAACCGTTATGTCATTATTTTCATTGATTTTTTTTTTTTAAGATTTATTTATTTATTTGACAGAGACACAGTGAGAGAGGGAACACAAGCAGGGGAGTTTTCATTTCCTTGATGATTTCAACAATTTGAGGGCATGTTATATCTTAATTCAGCTGTAGGAAGCACCAAGGTAAACTAGTTCCCGTTTTGCCCTTTCTTGCTTTTCATTCATACTTGGGGAAAATGGCACATGTACCAAAGAATGAAGTAAAATTAATCAGAAAACCATGCCCCTTTTTTTCCTTGACATTTAAGAGTTACAGGAAGAGAGTAAAGAAGAGGCAATCTTCCCCGCTTCCTTCCTGGACTGTCTTTGAGTGAGACAAAAGGTAGGCATGGGGTCGGGTTGCAAAGGAAAGGCTGGGAGGAGAGATTTTTCCCTGGATGTGGTCAGTTCTTAGGAACTATAGTGATGTAGCTCCCTAAAACTTTGGAAGTAAAGGACATTAAGACTACCCCTTGTGATTCAAACAAAAATTAATACAGAATGAACCACAGTAGAAGGATTGGCACCTTAAAGCAGAGATTAAAAACCAGTGGCTCAACCAAATCCAGCTAATATGTTTTCTTTGGCCTGCATAGGGTTAGAGTTTTTTAAAAATAAATGTTAAGACTAGGTGATTTCCCATGAAAAATACAGATTTTTTTGCTCCTTGAAAAAAAAAAAAATCATGATTTAACAACACGAGGCCTATATTATTCCCACAGCTGGTTTTGCATCTCTGGTTTGCCACTGAGCCCTCCATTTTTTAAAACCTCACCCTTTCCGTTGTCAAAGAGAACTAGAGCCAGATACTAGTTAATATGATACAGATTTTAATCAGAAACTTGCAGTAGAGGAAACGACCTCAGTATAAAACTGGACTCAATCCGGAATAAAATAACTAGGGAATTACAGCTAAGAAGCAGAGTAGAACGGGTGTGGGCGATCCATAGATGGACAGTCTCTAAGAAGAGCCATCAAGGAGGGGGGGTCCTTGCTGAGGGCAGGCCAAGGCAATCCTCTCGAGGGAGAGGGGGATTCTCTCTAAACTGACTTAGCAGAATTCTTGCTAAAGTGAGGTTCTTTAGGCCTGGCAAGGACAGGGACCATGTCAAGGTCTAGTTGAGAAGAGGGCTTAGAGGAGCCTGACTAAAGTTTGGTCAAAGAGCATTTTGTTACCACTTCATTTGTTTTTGCCTGACCCCTGGAGATACCTGAGGCTTTGATTCCTGCTTTAAAGAGTGAGTGAATCTAACGCTGCACCGTCCAATTGAACTCTTGAGCACTTGTAATGGGCTAGTGCAATTAAACTAAATTTTAAATCTTTTTTTTTTTTAAGATTTTATTCATTTATTTGAGAGACTGAGAGAGAATATGAGTGGGGGGAGGGAGAGGGAGAAGCAGACTCCCCTGCTGAGCAGGGAGCCTGCCACGGGGCTTGATCCCAGGACCCTGGGATCATGACCTGAGCTGAAGGCAGACGCTTAACTGGCTGAGCCACCCAGGTACCCCACTAAATTTTAAATCTTAGTTTTAATTAAATTTAAACCTGAAGCAACATAAAAATATTTTCCCCCTTAAACATAACTTTATCATTTCAGTAGGACTGTATTTCACTGTAACCATTGGGTCACAATATGGTATTGTTGTAGTGTTTGTGTACTTTAAACTTTTTTAATGTAGCTACTAGAAAGCTTAACATTAAATACGTGTCTCACATTCTATTCCTATTGGACAGTGCTGATCTAAGGCTTCTAGGACCTGATCATGTAATTCTCAAGAATATGTCTGATGTGATGAGGCTAGTAGCCTCTAGAGTGGATTCCCCCATGATCCCTTCCTGATGATCATGCCTTGTTTAATCCCTTTTAAGTGTGGGTAGGACCTGTAACTTTCTAATAACCAGCAGACTATGGAAAGGTGAGGGGATGTTGCTCCTGTGATTATGTTATATGAGACTCCCATCTTGCTAGCAGACTGAGCTTGGAAGCAGAGCCTTCCTGTCAAGTCTCCAGATGAGAACCTACCTCTGGCCAACATCTTTTGTGCAGCCTTGATGAGGACCCAGATAAGCCAGGCCCAGGATCCTGACCCACAGAAACTGTGAGATAATAAATGTATATTGTCTTAAGCCACTAACTGTAGTAATTTGTTGTTCAGTAACAAAACACATAGCCTGGAAAAGGGGCGTGGGTGGGCAGATAGAAGATAGACTTAGTGTCTTCCTTTGGAACAAAAATGCTGATATTCTGCCTACTGCTAGTGCTGTAAATGATACAGTCCTTTGTCTTAGACCCATGGGTCTTGTGTCTTCATTTTTCAGCATTCATGGAATGGTGCAGACTAGCTTGTTAGCTTGCAAGTAAGGTAAAATCTCAGAGCCTTCAGAGGTCTTGAAACTTGTGTTGGTTAATAATACTCAAGATTTTATTTTTTGGCAGAACAAACGTTAATCTACTTATGACTAAACCTTTTCCAGAATGGATTGGGTGCCCATATGTCTTTCTCCTCCCTGGAAAAAAAAGATTTTTAATTGTTTTGTTGGATAAAATTGCTCCATTTATGTCTTACGCATGTCGTATCAATGAGTGATTCTTCCTAGGAGTGAAGTTATCTGAGACAGTCACATCTTCTACACTAGCTAATTGTATTAACTTTTCCCGGCTTCAGTTATATCACCGACAAATGAGAGAATCATTATCTCTTAAGGTCGTTTCCAACTACAGTACTTCTAGGCAATGTAGAAAATAGCATCCCTTTAATTTTGTTTATTGGACGAGCACTTACATTGTTCTTTCTATGGGATAGGTACCACTTTTTTTTTTTTTTTTAAGATTTTATTTATTTACTTGACAGAGAGACAGTGAGAGAGGGAATACAAGCAGGGGGGAGTGGAAGAGGGAGAAGCAGGCTTCCCGCCAAGCAGGGAGCCTGATGTGGGGCTCGATCCCAGGACTCTGGGATCAATGACTGAACCACCCAGGTGCCCCAGGACAGGTACCACTCTTTTTTTTTTTTTTTTAAAGATTTTATTTATTTTTTTGACAGAGGGAGACACAGCGAGAGAGGGAACACAAGCAGGGGGAGTGGGAGAGGGAGAAGCAGGCTTCCCGCGGAGCAGGGAGCCCGACGTGGGGCTTGATCCCAGGACCCTGGGATCACGACCTGAGCCGAAGGCAGACGCTTAACGACTGCGCCACCCAGGTGCCCCGACAGGTACCACTCTTAAGTGCTTTTCAGAAATCATTTTGGGTGCCTGGGTGGCTCAGTCGTTAAGCATCTGCCTTCGGCTCAGGTCATGATCCTGGAGTCCCGGGATCGAGTCCCACATCGGGCTCCCTGCTCAGCAGGGGGTCTGCTTCTCCCTCTGCCCTCTTCCCTCTCGTGTTCTCTATCTCTCATTCTCTCTCTCTCAAATAAATAAATCTTTAAAAAAAAATCAAAAATCATTTAAACAAAGATGATGTAGGTGAGGAAACTGAGGCAGGGAGTTTAGTAATTTGCTCAAGGTCATCCAGCCAGAAGATGCCATAGCTGGGGTTCAAACCTAGGTAAAATTTGTACTCTTTTCCACCTGCTGTGCTGCTCCCAGCTTTTCACTGAAAAAATGATTCACTCTCTGCCCTGTGAGAACTCTGGAAGCCACAGGAGAGAATAAGGCATGTCCCTGCTCTCCAGAATCTTCACACAAAGTGAGAATTTTGTGCTCTGTGTGTGTGTGTATGTGTGAATGTGTCCCACAGGAGGACTCCAAGGTAAGCATTCATATGTAAGAATACCTCTTTAGAATGTAAAAGTGTACATACATGTTTAGGTTAAGTAATTGGATTCCAGGTTTCTAAATGTCTTTTTTTTTTTTTTTTTTTTAAGATTTTATTTATTTATTTGAGAGAGAGAGAGAACACATGAGAGGGGATAGGGTCAGAGGACAAAGCAGACTCCCTGCCGAGCAGGGAGCCCGATGCGGGACTCGATCCAGGGACTCCAGGATCATGACCCGAGCCGAAGGCAGTCGCCCAACCAACTGAGCCACCCAGGCGCCCCTAAATGTCTTATTTAAAGTTACTGAAATAAACCTTAGGGTTCTAATCTGGTAAGAATAAATTCGGTGAGACTTTTAGGGAACTATGCAGACATAATTGGCCAAAAGGCTTAGCTGTTTGATACCTAAAATAAGATTAATAAAATTACGTATGGAAATTAAAATAGTTAACACTGAATCATTTTCTTTGAAAGTTTTTAGTCAACCCACGTCTCATTTACATATGTCAGTATGAACTTCTTGAGGGTAACAGTGGAATCTTTTTCATCTCTGTGTCTGTATCTGTGTTGCACCAAAGACAGTATTTTTTCGCTGTATTCACCTAAGTGTTGAGTGAATGATCTATTTTATAGGATACAAGGTGACTCTCCGTATTCTTCAGGAAGCAGAATTACACTCAGGAGGTCCATCTGAACAGACTTGCATGAAAGAACTACTTACGACAAAGGGAACAAACAAGGGGTGTTGAGGCAAGGCACTCTCTGCTGTCATGACTCCTAGGTCAAAGAGGGCAACTATTATACAGTAACTGCATAGAGCTCAGTGAGAGCAGAGGTAGGACTTACAGAAGAGGGCTAGATGTGACTGGCACAGCAGGCAGGAAAGAGGGACAAGGGAGATAGATATCCCCATGTCTCCTGCCACCCTCTGATCTCCTGCCAATAATCCTCTTGGTGGCTGAAACCAGCTGGAATATTGAATGATAGGGAGCGTATCAGGGAGGGTAGGAGACAAATGGAAAATAGCCAGCATGCTAGAAACGTACCTGGATTTGTCTCCATGCTTTCAGCCTGCTATAACAATACCATAGACCGGGTAGCTTATAAACAGCAAAGTTTATTCCTCACAGTTTTGGAAACTGGGAAGTCCAAGAACAAGGTTCTGGCAAGATTCAGTGTCTGGTAAGGACTCACTTCCTGATTCATAGAAGGCTGTCCTCTTCCTGCAAGCTCACATGGCAAGAGGAAGAGGGTATGCACTTCTCTCGGGTCTCTTTTGTAAGGGTACTAATCCTATTCACGAGGACTCTGCTCATATGACCTGATCACCTCTCAAAGGCCCCACTGCCTAATACCATCAAGTTATGGCTTAGGATTTCAAGATTAATTTTAGGGGGGCACACGTTCATTAGATAGCAGGATCGAAGCATGCATTGTCATTTAATGCAACTTGATTCCCCGTTTGCAAAAATTATTCAATCTTTCCTCTCTCAGTTATGCATATTTTATGAAAAGTCAAATGCATGCTAGTTAAGTTTTCCAGTTGTTTAATATTCACATTGCTAAGAATTTACAGGAAGTACTGAATTTAAATCATCAGTAGGTGGTGCTGCTGAGATTGAATCCTGAAAAATATAAAACTAGACATTTAACTGAAGATTATCTAGGATTCAGATAGGTTATTTGGGAAGGAAGGTTACAATCCAGTGAGTTTCTGATTCGTTGTTTGAATTTTCTGGAGAAGAGAATTACATGCAAGGAACTTAACAGCTTTGTCTCTGACAGCATCATCTCATGAGACAAATAGGAACAATGAGTTGTTGACCCACTGAGATACCATTTTCCTGTCACCCCTCAGGAATCACAGTAGTGCGGGCCTTTACTAATAGGGGTAGGCCCATAAAAACCATGGAGTTGTAAAATGTACAACCTGGCATGGATTTTAAAGACGCTGAAGTCTATCACTCAAACTAGATACTTGGTAAAATACAGATTTTTAGGCCATTTGCCTGGAGATTCTGATTTAGTTCATCTGAGGTAGGCTGGAAATCTATAATTTAATAAGTGTCCCAAGTGATCCTTTCACACTGGTTTGGAAAATACTGATATATGTGTAGCTTCCCTTTGACCTAAATTTCCTTACATACTTGACCTGAGACTTCACAAACATTTTAGAGTGATAGTCACCTGGGACCCTCACCCAAAAAAATGTTCCTACCCAGAGCTTTACATATAATTTCAGATGCTTCAGAGATCCTTAGAGTCCATCTACATCACCTACTTTACAAACCCTCATAGAATCAGTTTAAAATTCCCTGGCTAGATTTCAGGGTTTCCCGTAATCTTGGTCTACCCTACTGATTGAGCCTTTTGCCTCATTGTACCCATCATACTCAGGAGCTGTAAAAATGAGCAAATTTCTCAGATTATATTCCCGGACACTTGGAAAAAGTAAAATCAAAGGAACCAGTATGCTTTTCTTAAAGCCTGTATGAGTTCGTCAAAATACAGAATACAATGTGGGGCACCTGGGTGGTGCAGCCCATTAAGCAACCCACTCTTGGCTTTGGCTCAGGTCATGATCTCAGGGTTGTGGGATCAAGCCCTGGGTCGGGCTCCATGCTCAGCGTGGAGTCTGCTTATCCCTTCCCCCATACCCCTCCCCCTGCTTGTGCTTGCTTGCTCTCTGTCTATAGTAAATAAATAAAATCTTTTTAAAAATACAGAACATAATCTATTAAGGCAGTGCTCTAGGTAGGTTTTATAGTTTGCAATCAGCTTTTTCTGATAAAGTAGACTGTGTTGATCTGTCAAGGTATGTGTATCAATTTATTCTATTCTCAAAGACTGGCCTCTTGTTTAAAGCATAATTTGGAGGAGGTGGCCGTGTCATACCACAGCAAAAGTCATTCTGGTACTAAGGTGGTGAAGCATCCAGGGTCCTGGAATTGAGCCCTATGTTGGGCTCCCTGCTCAGTGGGTAGTCTTCTTCTCCCTCTCCCTCTGCCCCTCCCCCTGCTTGTGTGTGTTCTCTCTCTCTCAGTCTCTCAAATAAAGAAATAAAATCTTTAAAAAAATAGATATTATATCTGGGCCATTATCTCTGTGGTGGTGATTTAACCAATACATATTGTTGACTTCTAT